CTTATTTTTTATGATCTACGGTTCCTTTTTGTTTTGCTTTGATTTTTGCTTCTGATTTCCATCTTCATTCTTTAATGAAAAAGGTAATCATGATCCTACCCATAGGAACATATTTATGAGCAACCTAACTGATATAGCATACAGGCTAGAAGAGAGAGAAAACTACTTAACTTAGAAGTAAACTTGTTACTGAAATTATCAGTTTACTCTTGAACGTGCAGGTAATAATCTCTAAGCGCTCTCATATACTGCTAGGCTCTTGCGTACCCTTTAGGCCGTGCAAGGCTCTCCCATGACCTGCTAAATGCTTCATAACTGCTAGATACTTCCTAACGCATAATTTACACTTATAACCTCCTCAATATTTATGTAAATTTTCTGAGCTTGCCAAGATCTTCAGAACTCGGGTATGGTATGGTACAGTATTTTATATTTTGAGAGTTGAAGTAGGGTCTTAACCCCCAGGACGACCCGTCTTCACCGTGTCCCAGTGACCGTCTGAGTGTGACCTGGGCGGACGGAGAGAGGTCAGTGTCCAGTGATGCCGCCTCCCTAGTGCCCCGGGGACCCCAGGCACCTGAACCGCCCTCCCTCAATGTCACTGGTGAGTGTGTGCTCTCCTAATTCACCTAATTCTGGTTGCAGGGGTCGAGACTCGGCTCCCAGCCCCGCCTCTTTATTGAACGCTACTAGGTCCTCTCTCTCCCTGCTCCAAAAGCTTTATCATACCACGTCTTAAAGCTATGTATGGTTCCTGCCTCCACTTTACTCTCCAGACTGTTCCACTTCCTGACTAGTCACTGACTGAAGAAATACTTCCTAACATCCCTTTGACTCATCTGAGTCTTCAACTTCCAAGTGTGACCCCTTGTTTCTGTGCCCCCTCTCTGGACCATCCTGTCTCTGTCCACTTTGTCTATTTCACGCAGTATTTTGTATGTCGTTATGTCTCTCCTATCCCTCCTGTCCTCCAGTGTCGTCAGGCCGATTTCCCTTAACCTTTCTTCGTAGAACATTCACCATAGCTCTGGAACTAACCTTGTCACAAACCTTTGCACTTTCTCTAATTTCTTGACGTGCTTGACTCTGTGTGGGTCCCAGACTGGTGCTGCATACTCCAGTGTGGGCCTGACGTACACGGTGTACAGTGTCTTGAAAGATTCCTTACTTAGGTGTCGGAACGCTATTCTCAGGTTTGTCAGGCGCCCATATGCTGCAGCAGTTATCTGGTTGATGTGTGCTTCCGGAGACGTGCTTGATGCTATACTCGCCGCAAGATCTTTCTCCTTGAGAGAGGTTTGCAGTCTTTGGCCACCTAGCCTATAATCTGTCTGAGGTCTTCTTTGCAGTTCCCCGATCCTCATGACTTGATATTTGGCGGGGTTAAAATCGAGAAGCCAGTTGCTGGACCAGGTGTCCAGCCTGTCCAGGTCTCTTTTAAGTCCTGCCTGATCCTCATCTGGTTTAATTCTCCTCATTAAATTCGCATCATCTGCGAACAGGGACACTTCTGAGTCTATCCCTTCTGTCATGCCATTTACATATACCAAAAATATCACTTGTTCTAGGACCGACCCCTGTATGACCCCGCTCGTCACAGGTGCCCACTGTGATGCCTCATCACGTACCATGAGTCGTTGTTGCCTCCCTATCAGGTATTCTCTGATCCATTGCATTGCCCTTTCCTTTATACGCGCCTGATCCTCTAGTTTCTGCACTAATCTCTTGTGAGGAACTATGTCAAAGGCCTTCTTGTAGTCCATGAAAATGCAATCTACTCGCCCTTCTCTCTCGTCATACCTCTGTTACTTTATCATAAAACTCCAGAAGGTTTGTGACACAGGATTTGCCTTCGATGAATCCGTACTGGATGTCGTTTATACTCTTGTTTTGTTCCAGGTGCTTCACCACTCTCCTGATAATCTTTTCCATGACTTTGCATACTATACACGTCAGTGACACTGGTCTGTAGTTTAGTGCCAATGTGGGTTAAACAGAGTCTGAGAGGCAATTGCTTCTGATTCAGTAAAGTGAAGGGAAACTCCAAATCCCTGGATCACAAACCCTTCACCTGCATCAAAAGTCTTCCCTCAGACTTTTGGGTTTGTGGACGAGTCCCAGTCTAACAAGATAAATCCTCCCTTAGTATCATACACTCGGTACATCTAAATGGATTATATCTTGCTCCTTTCAAGCCAAAGTGTGTTTTTCAAACACTGTTTCCGTGGCAGCCTGTGGAAGCTTGCTGGAAGAGGAGCCTGTCGAGGAGGATCTCAATGCCAGCATCACAGCAATCCTGAAACGCTCCGACTCCAAGGGTTCCAGACGAGGCTCCAAGAAGAAGAGAAAGACGCGTAGGACCTCCACCATGACCACCAGCTCCGGCGAGTGAGTAGTGGACAGCCAGGAGAGTAGTGGTTCTCAGTAGTGCAAGTAGGTTCTTGATAATGCGGAGAAATATTGTCGGGTACCTAGGAGTCATTGTACACATGAATTAACTGTTTTTATAGGCTCCTATTAATGCTTGTGGTAGAGAGAGAGAGAGAGAGAGAGAGAGAGAGAGAGGGAGGGAGGGAATGAGAATGCAAACGCAAACTAAATCTTTATCTTGATGTTTCATTGATGCTGAACTTCATCAAATCCCAAACACTGAGTAAGACATCATAATTAAGACTTACTCTGTATACTATCTGTGTCTACCATATTTGTCGGCACCATTTCCCGACCAACCCTATTAGTTCCTGCTTAGACTCCCAGTAAGGCTGGCAAACATGATGTTAACATAAGATGTTAACATGACAGGATGTTAACACAAACTCTTCAAATGGTAATTTACAACTATCCTGCGCTGTATAGCCCTTGTGGTTTAGCGCTTCTTTTTTATTATAATAATAACTATCCTGCAGATTTTAAGTACTAGACCTCTTTATGGTCTATCTTGGACCATTATGAAGTTACTCTTGACCTGATAATGGCCGAGAACGGATTAAAATATTTAATTTTCACTTCCAATCTGTAAGGTGTAAAAATTTTTGTCAAGGAAGTGTGACTTTCTTCAGTGAGTGGGACAGTAATATTCCACCAGAAATACCAGTATAGGCTCAAGAAGATGCTATTGTAGGAAAGTGCTGTGTTATGGGGGTCCTTAGGTAAAAAAAATAGATTCCTAATATCTCTCACGAGTAGCAGTGTAGTTACCCTGAGAGGCAGTTTAGCTTTGAGCGACAGTATAACGTGTTGCTGCCAGGACGGTGGTGGAGATGGAGTCTACAGCAGACGAGGTGGCAGAGACGCTCAGGATCCACAAGGAGGTGCTGGCAGGTATCAACCAGCAGCCGTGGCCCATCGCTAGGTAAGCACTCGAATACAATCCTAATGATGGCATTTGTAATATAGTAACCATAATTTTCTTTTAGTAACTATTATCCTTCATCTAGTCCATCTCCTGGAAAACTGTGCTATTTATTGTTAACTGTAGTTTGTGCAGTAAATGTAGTCTCCTTGTGTAGTAGCCACAGTCAGTTCCTATGTCTAGCAGAAAGTAATAACTGTATTTCCAGTTCAGAAATTAGTCTCGGTAATTGTGTTGATCCTAGAGCTGGAATTTCGTTTTACTTAACTTTTATAACTTCTTATGCTGTATTAATTCCATACCTCGCACTTAAACTACTTATTTTTAATCTGTTTTTAATTAAATATAATTCTTAAAGAAATTTTAAAAATTTTGCATGTACAATTGATCCTAATTCGCGGGAGCTAGGTTCCTGAAGGTGAATATCCTGAAGCCGCTGATACTATGAGATTTCACGTTTGAATGTTTATTTTTGTAGGTTTTAAAAGTTACTCGAATCTGCTTAATATTTGCACTAGAAAGAATGAGCACATTTTGAAAGAAATACTATGGCTATTTTTCATTTCAGAAGTCATATACCAGGTAACAGTTCCAAGTGACACTTAACAGTTGTATTTAAACCTATTAAGTCATTCTCTTTAGATACCCATTAAATTTATCTTTGGTGGAAATTACTCCTGTCATCTGGCTTTAGAATACATATGAAATTACTAATTTAGAATGAAATTTGCATAGTTTATATTGTAAAGTGGATTTTAATGCGGTTTTCTTGGATACAATCCTTTTAATGTCTTTCATTAGAGATTTGAGACATACTAAATCTAGTATGCAACGGCCCATCTGGAGCAGATGGGGTCGTTGCATATTAGATTTAGTGAGCTAGGTAATCCGAGGTAATGTTTATATATTAGAGTTAGGAACCAGATAGTGTTTGTTCTAGTGTTTGGAGGCAGTGACCCAGTGTTAGGAGACAGGTAATGCAAGAGCATTCTGTCTTTCCCGCAGAAAGCTGCGGCTGGCGAGAACTGCGAGGGAGTACATCCAGCGACATGAGGGGGAGCTGGAGGAGCGCCTTGCTCAGAGCACCAGCACCAAGGATCTCCTCCTCAGGAACTTTATCCGCGTTAGGAGGGTCAGTCTCTTATTTTTCTTTCTCTCTCCTTTTCCCTAACCCTTCATTCATCCTCCCAACAGTTCCATTCTCTGCACTTCACCTGTCGTGAAGCCTTATTCTCAAGATGTGACTTAGGCACATTTAATTATTTCATTAGGTATTTAATTAGGTATCCCCAGAAGAAAGTGTTTGTAATGTAGTTTTAGTGCAAGATCTTGATTATTATTATTATAATCAAAAGAAGCGCTAAGCCACAAGGACTATACAGCGCTGCAGGGCAGGAAGGAAGCGAGGGCATCAGGTGGCAAAAGGGAGATGGATGAGTAATAGGTTACGGATAACAGCGGGGCAGTGGATGGTGAAAGGGTAAAGGGCAGCAAGAGACTGAACTAGAAAGGGCTGAGGAGAGTGTGAAAAGTATCATCAGAGTTTGTGGAGTAAATCAGTCGTTGTCAAGAAGTCAATGAGAGAGTCAGGATTAAAGGAGGGTCCATCATCAAGAAGGGAAGGTAAAGAGAGAGTAGTAGAACGAAGACGACGTTGGAGGTAAATTCTGCGTGCTCGTTGATAGAGAGGGCAGTCTAACAGAATGTGGCTAATCGATACTGGAACTTGACACTGCTCACAGAGAGGAACAGGGTGCCTCTCCATGAGATACCCATGAGTAAGACGAGTGTGACCAATGCGAAGGCGGGAGAGAGTGGTCTCCCAACCTCGGCACTGATGACAAGAAGACGGCCAGTAACCTATGCTCGGTTTAATAGAATGAAGTTTGTTACCGAGCAGAGTTGACCAACGTTGTTGCCAACGGGTGCGAAGGTGGGTAGCTATTGCAGCAAAATAGTCCAGAAATGGAACACCTCGATAGGAAATTGGTAGGTCATGTACTGCTGACCGCGCAGCAGTGTGCTTGTTCATTGCCCTGTACGTCGACATGACCAGGGACCCAACAAAAAACAATATCTTTATGTTTGGTAGAGATACGGCGTAGCCAAAGTTGGATCTTGAGACTGTCTCCTCTGAATCTAAATTCACTCTGTCTTCCTGCAATTAAGACTTGTTTATATTTTATATATTGATCAACAGCAATAGTCGTTCACTTTACCCAATACCCTCAACAAACTTTCTCCTTTATAATTACTCACTAATCACTATTACCTTTACATATAAGAACTGCTTATTATTTGTGACAATCAGCTGCGCGTCACCCACTTAGTTTCCACCCAGGACACCATTATTCCCCACAGCTGGTGCGTATAGCGGCTCGAGGTGTGTACCTGTGGGTGACGGGGCTGGAACCATGGCAGGGACGCATCAAGACCATTGAATCGCACTTTGGGTCTGCTGTGGCGTCCTACTTCATCTTCCTCCGCTGGGTGCTGGGACTCAACGTCGCCCTTACCGCCCTCCTCGCTGCTTTCGTCGTCATTCCTGAGGTGCTACAGCTTTTACACGCACTACCTCTCACACGGCTCTTTCTGTAGATACTTTCTCTGCCTTTGAATGACTTGGGTGTCGTACCTAGATTGCTAGCGCGCTCAGCTCACACACTGAGGTCGGGGCATCGATCCCCGGTACGGCTGGAAACCCTAGAATGTTTTTCCTTAAGACACCTTCTGTCCATGTTCAACTATCAGTAAAAGAGGTATCTGGGTGTTAGTCGACTGGTGTGGGTCGCATCCTGAGATAAAATTTACTTAATTTGCCAGAAATGCTCTGCATAACAAGGGGCTTTCTATGTAGTAGTATGTTACTGATGTCAAACCATGTACATGTACCTGAAGAAATAAAGATTTTTATTATTATTATTAACTGTGGCTCGGTTTTGCCTTGGCTGATTCTTACTTTCTTTCACTCTTTCTTTCGCTACTCTTATCCTGCAAAGAGCAAAGATGAAAATGATTAGGAAAACAGAAAGAGAGAAAAAAGGGAAACAGGTAAGTATCTGAAGAACAAGGCTGATACCTAAACAGGAGGTAGTTAATCACGATAATTATTACCTTTTATTTTTTCCTTTAGTTCCTGGCATCTGAGAGGTCGTTGGCGGGAGAGCGCAAGAGCGTTCTGGTGGAGGACAAGGTGAGGGCTTTTGACTTCAAGGTGATGTGGGACTTCGAGGGTGTTCTCCGCTACTCTCCTGTCTTCTATGGCTACTACAGCAAGATTCCTACTACCAGAGAGGGTTACAGGCTTCCCTTGGCCTACTTCCTCACCTGCCTCGCTGTCTATGCCTACAGCTTTATAGCAATATTGAGGAAGTGAGTGGGAGAGAAGGCGGAATACACTGTGTGTTTGTGTATGTATGCATGTACTCGCCTAATTGTGGTTGCAGGGGTCAAGTCATATCTCCTGACCTCGCCTCTTTACTGATCGCTACTAGATCCACTCTCTACCTGCTCCACGAGATTTAACATACCTCTCCTTAAAGCTATGTATGGATCCCGCCTCCGCTACATTACTCTCCAGACTGTTCCACTACTAGACAACTCTATGACTGAAGAAATACTTCCTAACATCCCTGTGACTCATGTTAGTCTTCAACTTCTAATTGTGACCCCTTGTTTCTGTGTCCCATCTCTGGAACATCCTGTCTCTGTACACCTTTTCAATTCTTCTCAGTATTTTGTATGTCGTTATCATCCTCTCTCTCTCTCTCTCTCTCTCTCTCTCTCTCTCTCTCTCTCTCTCTCTCTCTCTCTCTCTCTCTCTCTCTCTCTCTCTCTCTCTCTCTCTCTCTTTCTCTCTCCCCCATGTCCTCCTATGTCGTCAGGTCGATTTCCCCTTTAATCTCTTCTCGTAGTACGTGCCCCTTAGCTCTAGAACTAGCCTCACTGCATACATTTGCACTTAATTTCTTGACGTGCTTGACTAGGTGTGGGTTCAAAATTGGTGCTGCATACTCTAGTACGGGCTTGACGTACACTGAACGATTCCTTACTGAGGTGTCGGAACGCTATTCTTAGGTTTGCTAATCGCCCATATGCTGCAGCAGTTATTTGGTTGATGTGCGCCTTAGGAGATGTGCTCGGTATTA